TTCATTATGAAAATATTATGTTTTTATCAGCAAACGAATCTCTGTACACACGAATATACCAAGTAAATGGTGTTCATTTCGTAGCCTGTCAATTGTTGCAGTCGAAAAGATATCGTTTGAAGATGAACGTTTCAGTCACTTTACTCTTGTCGTTACTAATATCTGTGGACTAAGCGACAATCACGGTATAGTTCTTGTTCCTGAACGTTGGTAAAATTGTCAAGGATGGTAGTACTTATCAATATTGAAACAAATGTCGGGAAACGTAGTCAGCATCAATCGAAGACTTGCTACGACAATACTCGCTTCGCTAATAATCGCCACGATAATGATGCGCTCGTAAGATCGCGCTCGGCTCGAATATTTCAAACAACTGGACACGGTCGTATAGTCAAAATTAAAGTGATGTTTTCAAGAACTTAGATAAGTAGTCGTCTCATGACTACTCTAGTGAATGTACTTGGTACAAGTACTTGTGCAGAAACTCTTTTATACACCACCACCGATCAAAAATTCTTTCAGCTGTTCAAATCTTTTTTCAAATTTGTTCGACGAGAAAAATGAAAAATAAAGCTGGCGAACGATTTTTGGATTTATCGTAGGTTTAAGCGCAGTATTCAATACCCCAAAACCGGTGCCAAGCTTCGTTAAGTTTCCTATTCATACATATTGCAAAGCTTTTCAAGGCATGTCGAATGACGTATAAATGATTAGAGATCCTCTTTGGTTTCATAGAAAAAAGTGATAGGAGTTTCCTTGGCATAGCCGCGATCTATGGAAAGGTCTAGTATTAAACTCATAAAACCTGCTGCCAGGTTTCATAAAGTTTCTTATTAACAGCTATTGTAGAGCTTTTCAAGGCTCATCGAATGATGTATTGCACTAGGTTTCATATTGGATAATTAAGGAGAAATTTTGATTTTACAGTCATGCTGTTGGTGCTGATTCGCTGTTTGTTTTAGAGTAAATTCTGTCCAGTATATTCGTCTGAAGCCAGTCGGAAGGGTCAAAATCATCGAATGCGATGATCGAATATGATTCTGATGAGTTCTGATGAATGGAGCGGTAAAAGTTAGTAGGCCGATTTCAAGTCTTATGCGAACTCCACCTTTACCTGTATACTATATCACAACATGATCAATGTATACTTAATTCCATGGTATAATATATGTAGTCAAAGGGGATCATTTCACGACTCCACCCTATGAGTATGTGGTTACTGAACGGCCTTTGTCGCGTTTGAATCAGTGCCATGGATGTGTTGACGAAGATAATCTCGATTTAATTCGAATAACTTGTATAATTGATTCAGATGTTCAGGCTCAATCAATTGTATATATGCCCCTTCGGTGGGCAGCATTTGACGGGTAGAGTTTGAACACAGTCTTTCAAATACGTACCGGAAATTCAAAACAATTTTTATTTTTCTACAAGACACTGGATCAAGGAACGTCAGCTTTAAAAATTCAATCCAACCTTCTGGTTGCTTCTGATCACTATAACAAAAAACCGGAAGATAGAAAGGTCATATCAGATTAAACACATCTTCAACCAATTTCCACTGCCTCAACATCTATCACTATTCGGCGTGACCAGCTAACGGTCCCCCTCAAATCAGAAGGTTCAAAAACATTTTCTACCGAATTAAATAGCGAGGCACATCACTAGATGCAGTTTTTCACGCTTATCACGAAAATCAACTTTAAAATTTATAAGAATTTAAATCTAAACTTTCAAAATTTTGTAATTTAAATTTTCTCACCTTGACATTTTCTTGAAAAAATTCAAAACTGTGCTAATCGATAGAGAATTCAATTCTCTACAAAGTGACTTATTTTTTTCAAAGTTTGCGGTGGTTAGAACAACTTCTAGAGTCAAAAGCGTTTTCTGGAGAACCAGTTTTTGTATCCACTTTTTCTATGAGTTAAACAACTTAACTTTAAATTGCATCAGAAAGAGCACATGTAAGTCCATATATTACCATCAAACGTATCTTTTTGAGTATCTTCGCCTTTGACCTAAAAAATACCTTCTACAACGAAACCACAGAAAAAAGGATGAAAGTCCGTTACGAAGAGTATTTTGACATTTTTATTTGACTCGGTAATTTATTGTGAAAACTACGTAGATATTCTGAAAGCTCAATAAAAACTAAACAACTTCCACCTAGAACATTTTCTTTTATCACTGCGAAAGTCTGAAGAAAAATGCGAAAGTCTATAAGCGTTCAAAAAAAATTCCGTCACAGCGTCTATTTTTCTTATAACTTTTGTCTGGCTCAACCATTTGTATAGACCGGTCCGTAACCAGCGGTATTATGAAAAAAAAGTGCGACATGGGAACCGACATGGCTGGTAAAAAATCTCTCAAAACGTGATCAAAAACTATGAAATTGATGTGAATTAAAATGATGTGAATCCAAATTAGTTGTAACGAATTTTTAATGTAAAATTAGTTTGAAGCTTTTCCAAACCAATGTAAACCACTCTAAAATTACAAATTCGTTTAAATTAATTTGATAAGACATTAACTGCGATAAGCCTGAAAAACTTAATGCGGATTAATTTTAAACTGAAAATTGTTTTGAACTGATTTCTTTGACATTAGTGTAAATCGGTTTATTACTAAATTGAGTTAAAGGAATTTGGAAAAGCATTAATTGAAATTAATTTCAAATTTCTCATTTTTCTCGAACAGAACTCATTTTGTATGCCTGAAAAATACCATATTCAGAATCGCCATCAAAAACTGAGTCGAATGATGTATATGTCAAAAGTTTTCGCTGATTTCGTTTTTTCAACAAAATCTCAGTAATTTTTCGGCGTGAAAATTCAAAAAAAACGAAAGTGGTCGGATAGGATGAAATAATACATCACCCGACTCAGTTTTTGATGGTGATTCTGAATCTGGTATTTTTCGTGCATACAGAATGAGTTCTGTTCGAGAAAAATGAGAATTATGGGCAGAATTCTAATCTTTTCGCTTCTGATCTAGAAAAAAATGAATTTTCTCGGTGAGGAAACAAAAGTTTTCGAAAGGGATACTTGACTTTGTTCGTCGTCGAATGGCGGTTCGAATGGTGTATGATAGTTGGGGAAAGCTTTTCAAACAAAAGACTACATAGGTTTGGCAGTGGATGGTATGCCTTAGCGGCTCGATTGACTAGTCCGTCCTAGCGTGAGCAACAAGAATGATGAAAGATGCTCAAACTTACATGGTATACTTAATTTTTGATGCTGAATCCAAATAGATTAATTTCAAAAATTTACAGTGACGACAAAGGAGTGAAATCTTGAGTTTTCTCAAAAAGGGTCAAAAGTGCCATTTTTCATACCTTCTTCGTATTTTGAAGATTTCTTCATCCAAATTTGACTAAAATTCAATTCCAAGGACTTTCCGAATCTACTCGTCGAGTTCTATCTAACCATGTATGTTTCAAGGAGATCAATTTTTGTGTGCCCCTTTCGAATTTCCGGCACCTTAGAAAAAGTGAAAAAAAGCATGAAATCAGACGTATTTTGAGTTTTTGACCCTCTTGTACACCTCCTTTTCAATTTTTGACGCTGCCATTGGATAGAGCATGCAAAGTTGCATCTATTGACGAAGTTTTGAGTTGCGCGAGCTATGTTAAGGGGGTCATAACAACAAGATACTCGTGAAAAACCTGTTTTTCTGCCGTATTTCGGATTTTTTCTACTCGAACAGCTTCAAAAGTATTGTTAAGTTATATCAGTCGATTCAGCTTGAAATTCTATGTCGATTGGTGTGCTTTTATGAATATTTCGGTGCTGCCAGCAGAAAAAAACGAATTTAGACTCGATTTTGAAGGATTTTGAAAAAAGCCAATAATTTTGAGGTTTTGCTTGAACCGAAAGTTTCTGTGCGCCCCGATCTTCATATTCGTGATCAGCACGGTTGATTACATATTTCTATATGGAATTCATGTTGATCAAAAAACAAATTTTTCCAAAATCCTTAAGGGAGACCACAGGCCTCAAAAAACCGATAGAAAGATTTCGCGAAAGTAAGTGTCAGGAAATGTTCCTAGGCATGTCCTGACATGATTCTAATACAAAAATCTCAAAAATATTGGGGGACAGAAACTACCTTTATCCGCCCTCCTCCTTTTCCCCGTGACTGCATTACGCAAAGTCTTATATTAAGTTAATTGATACCAAAGAATAAAGACGAGTTATACAAGTTTAAAAATATGTTTGCAAAAATTTGAGATTAATAAAGAATTAGATTAATAAAGAAAAATTTGAAAGTAATTTCAATTAATGCTTTTCCAAATTCCTTTAACTCAATTTAGTAATAAATGTTTTCGCGAAAAAATCAATTGAAATTAATTGCAGTGTTTGTGGCTTTTTAAATTATATTCCATTAAATTTTACGTTTGATTTTTATATTTATTCAAAGTTTTATATTGATGCGCATTAATTTTGAACGGAAGAAGGTTTTTTAAATTAATCTGAACGACTTGCCTTTTAAATTTGTTCAATTTCCTTTAAATCTCGAAATTAGTTTGCATTAATTTCAAAGTTTTTAATAGTTCCAATCTGTTAGCTTTATATAGAAAGACGAGAACTGTTTGCGTAGGCTACAAACGTAGTTGAATACAAACGGTGGAAATAGTATAATACTATTTCCACCGTTTGTATTCAACTTCTTGTAACTGTTGTAATTGTGGGCGGCATCTGCTTTACTGCCTATCTATTCGTGCTCTCGGGGCCAATATGGAATCACCATTGTGGTTTTGATGTATTCCAACAGAGAAACGGTCAGTTGAAGTCATTGAATAGAAAATTTGACAGGGAAAAGTGATTTTGTATTGCGTTTTCTTCCAGTGAAGCTAATCTCACGTGGTCCTCCTTTTCGAGGAAACAAAGTCAGTCTCCTTAGTGGTATGAAAGTTGTATCTTACTGAAAAGGGGGAGAAATCCATCTTATTCCTTTAAACCAGTATGTTTATTTTTGCTTTCATCTTTACAGATTTTATCATGGCAAACCGTATTGAGAAAATCAATTTAGAGATGGATAAAGCTCAAACTCAGATTGATAAAGTTGAAACTCGGATTGATAAAGTTGAAAGTGAGATTGATGAAGTTAAAAGCCATATAGAAAAAACAGAAAAACAAATCGGTGACATCGATGATAAATATAAAAACAATGAGTCAGAAGTGAATAAAGACGAGTTATACAAGTTTAAAAATATGTTACAAGAAAAAAGTAATAAACTGCAAGAAGAAAAAAATAAATTGCAAGAAGAAAAAAATAAACTGCGCCAAGAAAAAATTATATTACTCGAATTGCTATTGAAAGTAACTTCGAAGAATACTGGTAGGTAATGCATAATATGTGGCATCATAACACTAAAGTTTTACTGTTGTTTCCTTTTAGACAGAAATATGCGTGCCGAAAAAAGAAAAAGTTTTCCTGGTCCGAAGTCAGCATCTCATTGGAATGAAGACATTTTGAAATCATATGAAATTGTCATTCTTCCAACTACTCAATTGTCAGTGCTGTTGGGACAAGAACCGACGAGAAAATCAGGTGAAATTTTCTGTTTTTGAAAGGCTTTTTAGCACTATTAGGATTAATGATTAATTACGATGTATTGTCATTGTATTGTTTCTGCGGAAGTTCACCGTCGCAATTGTCATATAAAAAATCATCTGTTGCTATTTAGCTCGCTGTGAGGCGGTTGAAACCGCTTGTTTATCAATATCGGCAGAAACAGTGCGAGACAAAAATTTTCCATCAGATCCGAATGCGATGTGGTTGGCAAAGTTAATTTATTTGACTACAAGCTACGGTTGCTATGAATCAGCGGTTGACGATATGGTTCACTGCATCTTACATCTACTTGGTTTCAATGATATAAATTTGGTCGTACTGTGAGTAATAATGTATAGTTTTCTTCCTAATTGTGAATGGCTCAGGGTTAGAACCCCATTGCAAAAAGCTTTTGTGTTTTAGAAAAGAGATATTCAAAGAGTAGCCGCTATTTTGATGGAAAAAGCCCTCACCCTCACTATATCAAAGCACGATGGCATTGATTATGATAAGTGCTATATATTTTGTTTTTATGCAGTCAATAGCCAGTCTGTTTGAAAATCAGAATTTTCCTAAATGCGAAAATTGATCTCATTCTAGATCTCGAAATAAGCTGCATTTCAAAATGGCGAATGGTGAAGCAGAGGCAACGGCTGATATTACCGTTTTGGATTTAAAAAATAATTTTCGTCTTGCTGTTGTCGAGGTAGTTCTACAAATACTGCTTTAAAAGTCTACTTTCCTCATGAATAATTGCTTTTTTTTGTTCTCAAGGACAAGCGAACAATTGCAGAGAGAGTGGATTATGTTGATGAGCTACTCCATCCGAAGCCAAGCGAATGTCAACTTGTTGCTGAAGCCATAGCAGCTGCACAATTTAACAGAGAAAAAGTAAGGTCTCGGCAGCAAAATCTCATTTTCGTTTCTTTTGTCATGGTTGCGTAGAGCTCATCGAGTTAAGTTTTCAAGTTTAGTGCTTTTTCAAAATCTCAAAAGCCGTTTTTTCTCATTCCTTATGTAAAATTGCGTTATTTCGACATTTTTAGAAGTTAAATTGGTCTTGGAATTCGCAAGACACGAGCAGAATCGTTAAAGTACTACCTATGCAACTTGGGAACCAAACAAAGTCCCTAAAGATACAATGAAGAGCGATTGTTTTTATTTTATTCTAACCAGTTGAAACGTTATTCAACTCACTTTTTAACGCTGATTCCGAATACAACATTGATTGTGCGGAAAAATTGAAATTTGACGGTGAACATGATGAAATACGCACTCATTTTCTCGTTCTTCGCTATTGTTTTCAAAAAAATGTTTTTCTTAGCAACGAAACAATATTTTCAAAAACCGCTCTGTAATTTTGTTCCCACAGATATGATGATGCTTAGAATAAAATAAAAACAATCGCTCTTCATTGTATCTTTAGGGACTTTGTTTGGTTCCCAAGATGCATAGGTAGTACTTTAACGATTCTGCTCGTGTCTTGCGAATTCTAAGACCATCTGAACTTCCAAAAATGTCGAAATAGCTCAATTTTATATAAGGAATGAGAAAAAAGACTTTAAAGATTTTGAAAAAGCACCAAACTATTTTTGAAATTTTCTAACTTTAAAGTGACTCTAAAAACAACGTTTTCTATGTAACTCGATGAGCTCTATCCAACCATGAGAAAGAAAACGAGAACGAGATTTTGCTGCCGGATTTTTGACTGCTGAGATCTTACTTCGCCCTTACTTTTTCTATCTATTTTAGAAAAGTAAAGTGCGAGCACACAGTGCAAGCACATCTACCGCGAATGTCGTTTGTTATTCAGAACCAACACAAGTGAGTTTTGTTTAATTGTGATTGCGAATAATATTACTTTTCAATCTATTTCTAGATACCACTATTCATGATTCGCATAAGGGGTGAAACATTTACCTTTTATTCGCATGCATTCAGTAATATGATTTTGGACGCAGTGGCTGAGAATATCACACCAACTGAAACCACAGCCATAAGTAAATTTTCCGTGGAAAAAGAAAATAGCGTCGTTTATGAATTGTCAATCTTATTCAAAAGTGACCGCGAACTGATATTTACAATTCTCGACCAAATTCAACAAATTTTACAAAAATGTGCAGCTTAGTTATTTCTTTCGTTCTTTAACAACAACTACTCGTACACAAGGTAAATATACGCACATTTTAAGCAGGAGCGGCACAAAGCATCAGCAACGGAGGGGTGGGAGAGGGTAATTCCAAAAAATCGGAGAAAATCATTCAAAAATTTTTCTTTCTGCAAAGCACTCCTACGCGTACAAAGTTTGTTCGCCTTCTTTGCTTCGGACATCGGAGCAAATATTTTTCGAAGCAAAGGGAGCCACACACACACTTCCTGATCGCGCCGCCTCTGCTGATTTTAAAAGAAGTTTAAGTATGTTTCATGCAGACAATTATGAGTTAGTAGTTTTTTGAATGTAGCTATCTCTGGAATATTTATATTTGTCCAAGTATTCTCATACTTATCTTGTATCGTTTCTCCTTTCAGACAAACAAGAGACTATTCATCTGTAATTTGTTTTTATATCGTTTTATATTTTAGCTAAAACAAATGCACTAAGACAAACAAGAATAACGTATTTTTACACAATAAAAATTCCTTCAAATACAATGATGAACATGTATTTGTAACCACGTTCAAGAGAAAGTCGTACATTAGCAACCTATTTACGTCGTTCAATGTTACTCTCATCTGAAGTTCGTTCATTCAAACCAATTTTTTGCGCCGTCGGGTTTTCTAATTTCTTCAACTTCCACAACGGTCGGAAATTCAACAATAACTTCTACAACAGATTCCACTAGCTCAAATGAATCATCTACCGATCACTGGACATCGAGTAAAATTAAAACTGGTTTAACAGTTTATCTAAAAGTAGCTTCAATACAACCGGTATATTCCCACTATCTTCGAATATTTTCTACATTCATACTAAATTAATGAAATTGTTTAGTTTCATGCTGAAAAAATAACTGGTATGCTATTAGAAGGTTTATCAACACTACAGCTACAACGGATAAGTTCAAGTTCCAATGACGATGATTTCAGAGTGAAGGTTGAAGAAGCATTGACTATATTGACATTACATAGTATACGGTAACATTTCACAAAGGTCATTGGATGGTAAATTTCTATTTTTGTTTAAATGTTTAGAGAAACACCAACAGAATCGCCATCGTCATTGCCCACTAAACAATCTCAATAACAACGACCATTGTCACCTCAGCCACAGCAAACAACATTTGATAAACGTTTAGATTTAATTTAGATAGAAATGTTTCACTCAGTCGGCTTTCCAATCTGTTCGCAGGGCAGTTGACATCTAGTTTTGTTTTCTTTTTATTTATACGCGTTGTACATAAGACAATTGTTTGTTAAATTTGTTCATTGTATTGGAAGAAAGTTTCTTATTGTGTAAAAATACGTTATGTTTCTTCTTTGTCTTGGTATTGTTATAGTATATATATATATAAATATAAAATGATACAAAAATAAATTACAGATGAATAGTCTCTTATTTGTCTGAACGGAGAAACGATACAAGACAAGTACGAGAATACTTGGAATTATATCGAAGATAACACTGCTTCAGTATCGCAAATAGAAGCCCATTTTTTTGTCTTAATTGTTGTATCATGCGTGTAGAACATACTTCAGACATATCACTTCTAGAGTGAACAGCACATATTGACGAAGTGTACGAATCACATCATTTCTAAGCATTTTTTAAAAAGTTAACCATAATAAAATGCTTTGTGTAGAATTAGACGCTCAATTTCGTGAGTTGAATACACCTCTAATCTATAACGCATGTGAATGAGACAGAATCATCTCTAGAAAATCAATATGTTGACACGTATTACTCTTGAAATATAACATCATTTTTAATATTTTAGGAAAATCAACTACCGGGTATCCGGAAATTCATTGACCAAAAAGAAAATTAAATATCTCCGCCATTTCTCGACCAAATTTCAAGGTTGTTTTTTTGTTTGATAGAGAAACGTTCTAAGATTTATTTCATACGATCGGAAAGGACAACGGACGGTTTCTGCAAGAAAACCGCCCTGTATGATTTTGAGTGAAAATGATCGCAAATGCCTCCTATTTCACTTCTAGATACTTGCGACTTCTAAGAGTTGCTTCTGATCCCCTTGAAGAAAATTTTTCATATCATTTTTGGTGACCATTTCAACAAATACCATATCATCTTTTCCCAAACGTTTTCGTCTCTGTCAAAGTCCTTGACCAAAGTTCATCTATAGAAAGATAGAGAATTTTTCGGGCTTCAAAATGAGCTATAAAGAAGTCTTTCAAAAATATGTCCACATGGTTCAATAGCCGAAATGCTTGACCGATATAATGATTTTCACCTACCTTAGTGCTTTAAACACTCCTCTAGTCATTTTTCTGGCATAAAGAAAAATTATGTATTTTTCAAAAACATACCATTCGATAGTCCTTGAAATTCTCTACAAAGTGAGCTGGTCAGGATATCCAGACATTAAAATGGAATTCCAAAATATCTGAATTTCACTATAATAAACCCAAATATATTTTCCAATATTAACAAGAGTTTCCAATCGTATGAAATAAAACTTGGAACGTTTCTCTATCAAACAAAAAAACAACCTTGAAGTTTGGTCGAGAAATGGCGGAGATATTTAATTTTCTTTTTGATCAATGCATTTCCGGACACTCGGTGTGTCCGTTCAATTATCATTATATTTAAAAAATCTTTGCTATCGTGTTGGTTTATTAGATGTTGATTTATGTGGTCCTTCGATTCCTCAAATGTTTTGTTTAGAAAAATCGTCGAAAAATATTGTTTATGAATCAGAACAAGGTTGGACACCAATCTATGTAGTTGAAAGTAACGCATTGTGTATAATGTCAATTGGATTTTTACTTGAAAATGTGAATGGTGCTATTATATGGCGAGGTCCAAGAAAAATGGCAATGATTCAACGTTTAATAACTGATGTTAATTGGTCCAATTTAGATTATTTAGTTACAGAAACACCAACCAGTACATCGGATGAACATATAACAGTAATGAATATATTGAAACAATCAAATAGTGAAAAGACTAACGATTATTTACATTCAATATTTTAGTAACAACTCCACAAATGTTATCTATAAATGATGTGTGACGTGAAATAACATTTTATAATAAAACTGGTTTTCATATATTTGGGTATAGTTGAAAATATGAGCGGTTATATTTGTCCACATTGTACAGAATGCACTAATTTATTTGCAAACGGTGGTGGACAATTACTGGCACAAGAATATCATCTACCACTTTTGGGCATGATACCCACTGATAATCGATTAAATTCAATACTTGATCAAGGAATATATTCAAATAAAGAAGATAATCAAGAAAAGCAATTCTTTGAAACAGCAATGAAAATATGTTCAACAATGGTGAAACAAATAATTGAACAATGGTAACACTATTGTTGATATCTTATCTTTGTCTGTGTCTTTCAATCTTTATTGTTCTTGTTAATAAATTTAGAACGTCGTTATTTTGTTGAGTTGTTTTTTTTTGTTTTTTTTATAGAACCATTTATGATTTGCTATTTACTTAATCATGTTCAATTTGATGATTTACGGTATATTTTCTTTTACAGCATGACGTATTGTTTTTTTTTTCTAATTCAAGGTGCACAACATGATGACACTGTTTGGAAAAGGATTTGTTTAGCGATTGATAATACAGATGTATCGAAAACAAAATATGTTGTCAAAATAATTGATCTTGATAAAATGGCAAATTTCACCAAATATATTGTGAGTAATGCACTCAAATGTGTGCACTTTTCGGTCGCTCTATGTAATTATTTTAGTTTGATTTAGAAAGAAATATCTTGGTATCACATAAAAATTATAATAATTATTACATAAAATTTAATTATCACAAAACTTTAATGTCAATGAAAGAATGTTTTATCATTGATTCAAAACTATATTTTGTTAAACCTTATGCACAATACGGTGTGTTCTAGAATGTTTGTTTGTTCGTTTTTCTAATCAAATTATTCGAATGTGTCTTTTCTTTCTAAGGCTCGCGTTGCGGTATTTCACGACTAAATTCATTCGGTATTAGAAAAAATCCAATTATAATATTGCAAGTATAGAAGCACCTCGTTATTTGAAAGATAAACACGTTATGCATTGGTACGTGATAGTATTTTGAAACGAAAAATAAGATAGTCAATATTGTTCTACCTTCGCCAAAAATACTAGTTCATTAGTCACAATATGATGATCATACAATGCCAATAAATCAACAGACAAACACCGATGAACAAATACCATTAGTTAAATTCAATGCTGACGAAGATGATGATGAATTATTTACAATAAAAGGACCGGAAAAAAATGACGATAGGTCGAATATAGTGAGTCTTTTTCAATGTTAAATATACTCTGTTGACTATGGAATACATTGATTTATTCTTTAACAACTTACCATTTATTTTGCTTTCTATTCAGAATTCTGTACAGTTCGATAAATAAAAAATATCTACATATCTGATGATGGGCGCATAGTGTTGGATCATTTTTCTCATTGTATTTCCATAATATCTGATGGTAAATTATGTCATCAAATTTATGATTATAACCGTGATTTGAAAGATATAATATTGTATTTGGCACCAGAAATTTTATTTCGAGTCGGTCACGAAAGCGTAAAGTTAAGTCATTTCATAATATTTTTGATCTTTGTTTGGAATGCCGACGGATATAATGTGATGTGTCAGATCAAGATGTGATTATTCATTGTAAATCGAGCATCAAGGATGCTATCAACGCATCTATTTTCACGTTTCATTATCATTTTTTAAACAAAATTAAAAAATCGGTTTTTTTGTTTTTTGAGTAAATAATAAAGATAATCTTAATTTTTGTTTCGATATTTTAGATAAATTAAGACAGAAAAAATAGAGACACATTTCGCGAATAAAAGCTATAATAATAATTATTTATTACTTAATTTTTACACAATTAATTTGGCTTGTCTGGATTTCCTATTCCTCTGAAGACAATACTTTCAAACCATCAAGGAAACAACAAAAAAGTATGGTGTTTCGTTTTCTGTGGAGAGTCAAGATTGAAATCATGAGAGTGAAAAGCGTGGTTCAAGCAACCAAACTGAAATCCATAATAGAGTTTCGATATTAAAATTATTTAGAACATTTTCTGTGTTTTGGTCATTTCCAGCTCTGGCTATTGTGGGCCATTTTGATTCCGAGTTGCGTCGATTTTGTCATTTTTAAACAATGCATCAGGTGCAGAATTGTTTGCTCTATTAAAATATCGAAACTCTATTATGGATTTCAGTTTGGTTGCTTAAAATATACAGGTTTTTCCACAAAAATCTCAGTTTTTCAAAACCTCAGTTTAAAAGTGTTGCAAGATTGTTAATTACATTGATTTTAGGGATGTATTTTTTAGTTGTTCAAGTTGGGGAGTATTCTGAAGCTTCTTTTAATTTTATAAGGAGTCATAAGATTTTATATTATTTTGGTTTTAATATATTTATATATAATTTAGGTTTATAGTGTTTTATATTATATATTTTAGTTTTTACTTTTTGTATAATGGTTGAACGTAGAAAATAAAATGTTTAATTAGTTAATTTTTAGATAGGATTTTTAATGGAAAATATTAATTTTATATTGCTAGTTAATAATGATAAATTTGTTTTTATTATATCTGATTGGTTTATTTTTGTATTTAAATGGTTTTAAGTATATTTATTATGGTTTTCTTTTTAGTTGTTTATTTTATTTTTCTTTATGTTTTAAATTATTAAATTTTTTTAATTTGTTATTTTTGTTTTATTTTAAAAAAAATTAGGCTTTTTAATTTTACTGTTTATTAAAAACATGGTTTAACATTTGTATTTTATTTGGGTTAGATTTAGAATTTTTGTTTGATTTGTGAAGCTTGAGTTTTTCTTTATTGGTTTTAATTGTTATTAGAATTTCTTTAAAGGGTGAAATTTTTGGCTATTTGGGCATGGTTTATGCTATAATTTCTATTGGATTACTTGGTTTTATTGTTTGGACTCATCATATATTTACTGTTGGTATGGATGTTGATACTCGTGCTTATTTTACTGTGGTTACTATGGCTATTGCTGTTCCAACTGGTATTAAAATTTTTAGTTGAATTGGTACTTTGGCGGGTGGTATTTATAAGTTTGATTACTTGATTTTAGTGAAATATTTTTTTGTGACCACTATTTTAACTTGTGAAGAACAATCGAAAAATTCAACAAAATTATAATTTTAATTACAGCTTCAAATCATTATTAATCTCTTAAATAATAACAATCGTTTGCAAACAACAATCACTGATTCTTTACTTCAGAAAACCCAAAGCTTTCGATTTTTTGTAGTAGTAATTGAAGAATGGAATAGACTAATATTAAAAGATCCTAGAATTTTGACAATGAAGGTTGCTAATGTGAGACTAATTTTGAAAAATGAAGTAACTCCAACTGGAAAATTTTCTAAACGTTTTAAGTTTGCCACAAGGAGAGAAGAAATAATATTTATGCGTATTAAGAGTGAATTTCCACCTTTAAATCATTATCTATACAAACGGAAATATGTCGATTTATCTTGGTGCAGTTGCAGAGGTGGAAGGGAGGCTATTGTACATTATTTTTTCAACTGTTCTCTGTATAATACTCAAAGAATTCTATTCAAACAGAAGTTGAATTTTTTAAATGATATTACACTAGATACTTTCCTACTAAATAATTTACAGTTGGATGAGGACGCACAGTGTGCTGCTTTGAATGCGGTCAACTGCTATATAAGTGGAACGAAGAGATTCGAAAGCTAGCGGCACTTTATTTTAAATTTCACCGTTTTTTTCCAAGAATGTCAGTCACTACCATCCCGTCTGACCTGGGCCACTATCACCTCACATATTCATTTTTCTCCTACTTTCTTTTTTATGTTGTTCGTTATATTATCAACCTGTATTTTATTTTACCTTTACATACTCTAGTATTCAGAGCTAGGCCTATAATAATTTTTTCGCAGGCCTTATTTGAAAAGCATCAATAAAGATATAAACAAAAACAAAAAAAGGCTACGATCTGTAATCATCATCAGTTATAGCTTACAGTAAAAAACACACGGCTATATATACATTCGATCTTTTTCTTTTCCGTATTACTTTCCACTTTTCACTATTCAGTCACTTTTTCGTTCTTTTCCTTTATATTCTTATGAACATATGGGTTGTAGTTAAGCGGATGATTGATATTTACTTTGAAGGAATAACGCAACATTACCAATAGAAGTCCAAGTATAAGTAAAATAAGACAATAATACCAAGAAAAAACATAGTCATGCCGGATTTCTTGTTAGATTTTACATCTTGTAGTGTCCAACATACATCTTTTATATATTTTAACTATAATAACAATGATACGCTTTGTCATCCTGCAACAAAATAGAAAAACCTTATTTTAGTTGCTAATAGCAGGACTTTAGTAATAAACGTTTGACTTGTAGTGATTGCAGCTAAACGGATTTTTATTTTATTATTATAATACTGAAAACTAAGCTTTCGAATCCTACCACACAAAGTGAAACTAATACACTTCTTTCGCAGTTCTTTGCTTCTGATTAGTTATCGCTATGCTAATGAACTAAATAGAAAAATAAAGAACTTTCTGGGAGAGTTTACTCCTAAACACTTTTTAAGTATTATAGAATATAATCATTTTTGAACAATTAATCAAAAGCAAAGAAGAAAGATGTGGAATGTATGATTGATATTGATTATTACATAAGAAATCATTGAAAATTTGGTGAAACTGCATTTGCTTACGAGAGAATCTCTCTAGGTGTCCAGTTTCGTTTGAGCTCATATTTTGCGGATCGATAGGCACATGAGTGTAACAAAATGCCTAATTTGGGCGGTTGCGACTTCCTTCTCTAGCTATCGAATTTGAGAGATTAATTCTGTTTTATTTAGACTAAAGTTTTGTTTATTTTTAGACTAAATCAACTCACGCTCTTGTATCATGACAATTGAAGTATATCGGTATCATCGAATATCACAAGTGATGCATGCACTGTCATTACTCATATCTCAACAACAAAACTAATCTGCGTGAATGCAAATGTGGAGATCTGGGTGAAAATATTCTTTAGTGTACAGATAATAGGCGAGAGTTTGAGATTAGCAGCAAACAAAATCATTTATTTCTTATGACTTATATCGTATGTAGATAAAGAGTGTTTCGATTATTACCATACGATCCATGAATGAACGAAATTTTCGATGTAACAAAGCAACCTCCATTGTATTTAAAAATCATTTTCACTCAGATATTCGCAGAATAATAAAAAATATTTTTAGTTTCGAATCAGATCGGTTTGGTTGTACTAAAGCTGATAAATACGTAGTTAATAAAATTCTTGAAAAATAGATACGAGTTTATCGAGTAAAAAGCAAAATTTTTACTATTTTAAGAACGATACAGATATAATCGATAAATTATTGTATCAGACCATACCTAGTCATAAGTATACAAATGACACTTACATAATTTCGTCATGGCCTTAACATTTGTCTAATCCTACAATGTCAATTTCTACTAAGTTAGCTACTTTCTATGCTCAATACATCTCCATCGATAGATTTTGTTACTTTTTTATATTTGTCAACTTATCAAACGCTTTCAATTTTAATGATTTACATTTTTAAAAATATGCAATAAAAAGAAATTGCATAAAAAAAAAATTCTTTTCAAAATAAAAAGATAAAAATTCAATGATTTTATCAAAAAACAACAACAACAGAAACAAATAAAGTTTAACAAACAGCGAATAATATTTTACTTGAAAATTCATTCTAAACTATTTAACAATTGTTAAAAATGATAAATGCATGAGATAAATAGACTATAAAGAAAAGAAAAACAAGAGCATGAAAAAGACAAACGGAGATGGGTAAACAAAAAACAAATTGTTTTATAAATTCATTTTTAAAAAAATTTTCTTTTCTTTTACTCTGAAAGGATAGTTTAATAAAACAAAGAAATATTGATATAGTCTCGTTTATAATGACACATACAGACAACGGTTCTATTGTTGTTTGATGAATTCATAATATAAATATCTATAATTCATCTTTTATTAGTGTATTTTTATCTAACATGTTCAATGTCAAATTATTATGTACTAAATTATCTACATCAATTTCAAATGATTTTGGTCTGATAATATCTTTATTAATATTTAATATGGTCGTATTTTCTGTATCTGATACATAATTTGGTTCACCAAAATAATGTGTTGGTGTCAATATTTGTGGATGAAATGCATATGCTTTTAATTTTCGTTGTTGAAAATATTTTTTCCATTCTAAATTTGGATGACGATCATACATAATAGGTAAATATTCATCAACAGGAAGTATTTTTGATAATGGTTTTTCGTCTATTAACATTTGAGCACCACGTAATGAAAGTAAATAGCCAATTGTCCAATGAGTATATGAAGGTTCAATAAGAAATTTTTCAGTTGTTAAATTATAATTTTCTTCGGATGAACGAATGATTTTTCGACCTTTCACAAAAAAAAAATATAAAGAAGATATAAATTTAATTTTCATATAAATGTTGCAGGAGAAATTAAAATCTAGTAGAATTTAAAATTTTAAGTTTTCCTAGTAGAAATTAAAATCAGCATATTCACAAACACGAAAACTCAATTATCCGGCTTTAGAAATCGAATTTTAGTTTTCTGAAAAGCACACGATGTTTATAGACATCAGATGAAGATTATGAACAGTGACTACGAATCCCCAAACCGCAAATTGTGAGCAGAATTTGACCCGTAAAATGTTTTGTGACCTTTAACGGATGGCCCATAAAAAATGTCGGTCTCAGTATTTCATTAATATTTCGCTCAGTTTTCATTGTCAAGACTTTAACTTTTTTTAAGAAGATTTGTCATTTCATTCACTACAAAAAACATATTGAACATTTTTTTATATAACGCAGAAATAAAGGAAGATAGATGATATACTGCGAAGCTTCAATTGCCATTACTTTCTAACCCATAAAACAGTTTTTCAATTCTAGGTCATTGTATTTTGCGATACAGAATAAGAGAAGATGACCTTTTTGTATCACTTGAAAAGCTCTACCAATTGCTTATGTTTAAAACTCTTCATAAACGCAATTCGTTGCGGGAGAAAGTTTTGGTTATATCGGTTTTATTAAAACTCGCCGTTTTCAAACTGCAGTTTTGGTGGCATTTGCGAAAATTTTTATAAATCGGCCAAAATCAAATATTTTGAGATTCGGTATATCTTAAAGCAGATTAATTCTTCTGTTACACCCGAGCAGAGGAAGTTCGATAGTTCCATTTCATTTCCACTGACAAGGCGAAAAGGTGAAAATTGTCCTTTGTTTTGGAAGACTGTAGTAAAATTGCATTTTATATCAGAAAAACACGTTTAAAGTCAACCTCTCAAACATGAAAAGAAAGGTGACACTTTGGGGCACCAGCACACACGTTTTGATTCTAGTTTGTTGCATAGCTTCATGTTCAAAATAAATATCTTTTCGTTGTGTTTTGGGTTTGAAAATAATGGCAATTGAAGCTTCGCAGTATATCATCTATCTTCCTTTATTTCTGCGTTATATAAAAAAATGTTCAATATGTTTTTTGTAGTGAATGAAATGACAAATCTTCTTAAAAAAAGTTAAAGT